TCACCGTAGCATGTGGCCAGGCAGAAGGTCTTCCTCTTCCAGAGAAGACAGAAACTTCTGCTCTGTCCTGGGGACCATGTGGTGCCTCCCGCTTCCCGCCTGAGTCATCTCGGCTCTCCCACTTCCTGGTTACTGAGGCTCGTGAGTGAGGCCAGCATCCTGCCTGTGGGGAACCAAAGCCTCCTGCTCTGGCTTTGTTGAGCGCCTGTGACCCCTGAGCTGAAGAGCATTGAGCGTTTCTGTGGTTATTTCCCAAGATGCCACTCCCAGATATGCTGGCATACATGCTATTTTGTCTTAACTTGTACTTATGTGCACTATATATTTCTTGGGAATTTATCAGAGTTTTCCCTAAACTCAGTGTGCTATTAATCACATAATTTCTGTGTAGGTACAAATGTAGCTGGATGATGGCTGGCTGCTGGGTTTATTTATTAGTGGAGCAGAGACCTGGGGACGAGTCCATTTTGACCCTGGTCTTTGAGTCAGAGCCCAGTGAAGGTTCGTCTGAGAGCCCCGTTGATATTCTAGAGGCTGGCAACATCATGCATTGATGACTAGACAGCTTGTCATCCTGGGCCACAGAAGTAACAACTGTTTTTAAGGTTTGGCCAGACTTCATATTCTCCATTCTTTCCATCCCATGTTATATGGAATGCACACGATGCCATTTAATTACTTCAATCCCTTTCTTAAAGGAAAAAGACACTGAACCAGTATTCCAGAGGTGCTAGTAGTTTGAAGGTTTACTCAGTAATTTTCTTTGCAGACTTAGTAGCTATAAAGATCTCACTTGTGTTTTTGCAGTATTAATTAATTTCGAGTGCAGTTTTGACAGACCAACCAAGGGTCTCAACTGGCTGCATAGAACGAGTGCTACTTTTAAGACCATCTCAGTGAAACCTTTTTCAAATGAAATTCAACAGGAACCAGCCTTTGTTTGGACTCATACACTCAGTAAAATGCTCAACCTTTGTAGGCATGTCAGCTGTCCCTCCTGTTCACAAAGTAAGCTGTATGTGCCTTTTACTACTGTGTTCATGAAGCAGAGACTCAAGAATATATGTGTTCTTGCTTTGGCCACTGTTTCATTTTGGAAAAGAGGCAGTTGACTCGTCCTCTAGAGAAAGATGGCCATGGAAGTGTAGGACACACAGGATGCATCACACAAAGTGGTCCTCGGTGAGAGTGCTGTCGTGTGGCGATATGGCCCTGCGCTACCTGGCACAGTAACCACTGGCCACGTGTGGGTACTGAGCACTTAAAAGCAGCTGGTCCAAGTTCTCGCAAGTAGCTTGTGAGAACTTCATATGAAAAAAGAATATAAAGTCTCTCATTAATGTTTATTGACTTCATGTTTAAATGGGGGGCTTCTCAGGTGGTGCTAGTGGTAAAGAATCCACCTGCCAATTGCAGGAGACGCCAAGGACACGGGTTCGATCTCTGGGTTGGGGAGATCCCCTGGAGAAGGAAATGGTAATCCACTCCAGTATTCTTGCCATGAAAATTCCATGGACAGTAAAGTCTGGTTGGCTGCAGTCCTTGGGATTGCAGAGTTGGAGACAGCTGAGCACCCACTCACATGTTTAAATGATAATGTTTTGGGTTATTTGATTTAAATAAAATATATTATTAAATTAATTATATTATTTACTTTTTATTAAAAAACCTGAAATTTCGAGTATGGCTCTCCCTAATTGGCTATCTTTCCATAGTCACTCGGGGCTCTAAGAGCTGGCACAGGTTCTAGGATATGTGAATCGACCGCCTGTCCCTGGCGAGAGCCCCGTTGCCATCCTTTCAGTGTCACAGTGGTACCATCTCTGAGTCATGGCCGTGACATCTTGTCCACGCAGCGGTTGTCAGGGCCACAGTAGGAGCAAGACCCCAGGAAGTCGAGCAAGTCACCCACCCATCTCAGCTTCATCTGTGAAACAGACTTAGATTGAGTAACAGAGAATAGTTAGGGCACATTGCAGGGGTCCCCTAAATTCTGTTCTTATTTCAGATAGCTGGGGAATGAGAACACAGAAGACAAAGCCATTGATATACACACACAGACGTACACAGAGGTCATGTATCTATGTGGCTTCCCCAGTGGCTCTGCAGTAAAGAATCTGCCTGCAGTGCTGGTTCAGTCTCTCAGCCGGGAAGACCCCCTGGAGGAGGAATGGTCGCCCACTCCAGTATTCTTGCCTGGAGATTCCCATGGACAGAGGAGCCTGGCGGACTAGAGTCCAAAGGACTGCACAGAGTGAGACCCAGCGGGGCTCACACACATATATATACACACACACACACACTCTAATCCCCAGTTTTACCTTCCTCTGAGAGTGTTTGCATGTTGGGATGAGAAAGCAATATCATCAGCAGTGCTTGTCTAACAGGCACTAATTTGAATTTGGGTTTTGGAGGACTTTTAGCATCTCCTCTAAGTTCTGTGTCTTGGTTTCCGTGGGCACTGTTGATATCAGAGCAGAAGGAATCAGTTGACTATCTGCACTGAAGGGAGCGTTTGGCTCCCTTGCTGAAAGCCCATCTCCTGCCATCAGTGCATGTGCAGACAGTGGTTGTTTACAGTTTAGAACACGGTAGTCCTGAAAAACAGTTCAGTTGAAAATAAACTAGGCCACATTTTGATGTGATTGACAAGGATGTAGAGGTTGCAAAAGTCACAGGGTCTGTGTGGCCTAATCGCTCGGTGTAGGAGAGAGACCTCCTCAAAGGTGTCAGATAGGATGCAGGTATGTAACAAAGAGGACGTTCTGTGCAGGTTTCTGGCAGAATGGCCTTATTGTCGCACTGAAATGGAGGCAATGAGGAAGGAGCAGGTGACCAGAGAGAACAGCATGGAAGGACCTGCCTAACTTAGTGGTGAGTGGCAACTTTTTTATTATGCTGTCTGGGCCTCAGCCATATGAGATCATAGAAATGAGAGATGGAAAAGACCTCCTGTATTAGGTCATCTAGCCCATCCCCTCCAGAGCTGACTGACCCCACAGTATACTTTCCAGAGCTCTGTCCAGTTTTTCAAGTGACTCAACTGATGGAGTTTCCACCAGCTCCCAGAGGGCGCGAAAAGGTAGTGTCTGAGACTGCTAACTTGGATTAGGATTTATTCTTCTTTCTCATGACGAAGATCCCTGGGATGATGCTTTGTTTGAAGAGAGATGGGGTCAATCCTGCCTCTGTCATAACTTGCGTATAACTGCGGATGATGTCAGCGGGCCCCATCTCCACATTCCCCTCCAAAAGCGGGGGTGTGTTGCTGGGCTCCTTCAGTCTGAGCGTTCTAAGACTTGGCGGCGGCACCTTACATAGCGCTTTATAGTTTTCACAGCTTGTTCACATTTGTGATCTCATTTGAGCCCCACCGTTCTTAGGGAAGGAGTTGATCTTATCCTCCTGACCATCTCCCTGCCTATTCTGTTTCTTGTTAATCAGATGGAGGAGTTCTCCCAGGCAGTGGGTGGTGGGCCAGGTGGTCAGGCATTCCTTTTTGATTGGTTTGACCTCACAGGTACTACTATGCCTTCTGAGACACCACGTGGGTGCAGTTTACTCTCCTTGAGGTGTGGCCTCCTGTCCCAGGCAGTAGCACCACTCAGGATTATCCCAGGCCACCTATGGAACCCAGAGCTTTCTTGCCCGTGTCTCTGGGTGGGACCTGTTGGGGGAGTGGATTTCAGTCTGGACTGTGATATGTTATCAGTAGGATTGCATTTGCGTTCCTCCTTTGGTGCTCACCCTGGCTGTTCATCGTCAAATCCATCCTCCTGTTATAAAGGACTTTGAATGGATCCATAGGCAGGTTGATCCACTGGGAGTTAGTAAACTGGGCACCAAGGTCTCATCTTAATTCAGATTGTGCAGTTCCTTCCTTTTCCTGAACCTTTCTCTAAAAGAGGAACAGTATTAATATTTATTCCAAGTAGTTGGTCATTAAGATTTCTCTCAAAATCATTTCTTTTTGTTGTCAAAGACATTACATTTTTAAATCCTGGTTCAGTAGGTATATAATTGAAGTACATTTCACGGTGCAGCTAGTCTCAAATAAGAGTTGTGATACAGTGTTGCTCTCAACTAGTGTATAAAGCTGTATAAAGTGTGGCATGAGTCCCAGAAATGGGGGCAAGGAGCTGCCGTCCAGCCTGGTCAACGCCCTCGGTCTGGGAGCTGGAGCAGCCCTGCGCACTGTGGGCAGCGTCCTTGCCTGTGGCATCACTGCGCGCTCATGGCGTTTCTGTGTGTCCTCTGTGTGTCTGCTCTCGTGGCGCCTCTTTTGCCTCCCTAGAGGATGCCAGGGCCTGTGCTCACAGGGCCGTCTCCCAGCGTTTCTGAGCAGGCCCGGGGGTTATGGTGTGTACCTGCTTTATCACCTCTGGTTATATATGCTGTTTCGTTCTGTCTTTTATATTTGTGTGTGAAATATATCAAGCACACAGACATAGAAAAGGGGTTGCCTTTCTTTTTAAACTTTGTTTTTCCAACTTCAGTCTGCAGTTAGGCACTTGGATGCAGAAAGGTAAATGAAACAGTGATTAGGTGAGAGCTGGAACTCAGATCTGAGTTGTAGCCTCCAGATTGCTGGTTCTGCCCCGTGCCACTACTGTTTGCAGGAATTCCACGTGTATGTGGTAACAATCTCAGCAAGGCAGTCAGCGAAAAAATCATGGGTTGGAAACAGCAGTGCCTCAGGGATGTATCTCCTGGGGCTGTGTGGTCAGTCTCCTTGTTTATGGCCTGGAGCAGGGCCAGACAGCAGATGCATCATCTCCTGACAGCTCTACCTCGCTGAAGGTCAGTGCCAGAAAATGGCAGAGCTGAGACCCAAAGTCAGGGTCAGAGCTGGAGGCTCTGGCTCTGTGCTCAGAGTATTCGTTATCCCCATTAGCTTACAAATTTTCTGAAGCATTATGAAAGTAATGGAAAGATATATCATCTGTTTTTGAGAGCATGAGAAAAGACGGCCTCTCCTATCATTTGTGCTTCCCTTGCAGATCCTGAGGAAGCTCAAAGGTCTCGCGTTAGACACCGAGACAGAGCTGGAGAGACAGGATGAGGCCTTGGATGGCATCACTGCGGCTGTGGACCGGGCCACCTTAACCATCGACAAGCATAATCGGCGAATGAAGAAACTGACTTAGGAGAGCAGGAAAGCACAGAGATGACTGCTTGATGAGAGTCACTTCTGAGTACGTTTTCTCAGATCCTGCATGCTTCCTTTGAGATGAAGACCCCAGGAAGTCATTCCAAGTGCCCTGTCCCGGGAGGTGCACGGCTGCCTCAGGATGAAGGGCTGCCGAGAAAGCTGCTTGGGGTGATCGTAGCTGCCGCCAAGGGATTCCCTTGTAGGGAGCCGAAAGTGCATGGGAGGAGTTCTGCCTGCAGATGCAGTGAGCCGCCTACCCGCACGGCCCTCTCAGGCTGCCTGGGGAGTCAGGAGCACACACACATTTAAACACAGGCTGAGCCCTATGAGGTGGCCACGGCAGCAAGGTGTCTTCATTCTGAGGGTGAGCTGGACCCCGGCCTCAGGGACCACTTTGCATGGCCTCAGTCCGGGTCTCCAGTGCACAGCTAGCTGTATTTTCATCCTGTCTCTGTTCTTGATAACCATAAAAAGGATGATTTATGTCTCTATGAGAGAAATCTACTTATTTCTAACCCTATGCCTGTTTGAGCACTGCAGGCATATCCTTTGTCAGGAAAATCTCTCCTCCAGAACCACATTCAGTCCTGAGCCTGCCTCTCCTGCATGGCCTGCTCAGCACAGACCCCGTTGCCTTCGCGTGGTTCCGTGTTTCTCTGATGGACAGGCAGTCTCTTTTGGGTCACACTGTAAGTTCTAACAGAAGCTGAGCATACACCGGGCACACAGCGAGACCATCCTGTAGACACCTGAGATACCCTTCTACTGCTCAGTTTTCAGTCAAGCGTGAAAACAGTACAGATTGTGCCCATTTTAAATGGTGTTAGTTTTTGCTTTTCTGCCCTGTTGCTATCCAGAGACAGAAATGCTAGTTTTAGAATGTTGTTTGAAGCTATCCATTGATGCCTTTTTGCTCGGTTTGGGGTGTCTTAGTGTGTTCCCGGGGGCTCACACGGTAAAGAAGCCACCTGCAGTGTGGGAGACCTGGATTCAGTCCCTCGGTTGAGAAGATCCCCGGGAGGAGGGCATGGCAACCCGCCCCAGTGTTCTTGCCTGGAGAATCCCCGTGGACAGAGGAGCCTGGCGGACTACAGACCATGGGGTCTCAAAGAGTCGGACACGACTGAGTGACTCAGCACAGCACAGCACAGCACAGCACAGCACAGTGTGTGCCTGGGAGCCCCTCATGGGAAGATGAGGGGAAAGTAGAGAAGTGGGTGACATCCTCCCGTGCTCACAACAGGCCACGTCCAGGCTGCTTTGAAATAACAGCCCAAGGAGTGTTGCCCGAGAAGCTCCCTTAGGCCTTGTACAGATGTTACTTTGAAGCTGTTGCTGCAGCCTTCCGGGGGTGCTGCCTGCAAGCCCTGTGCGGCCCTGCTGCCCCACTCCCCGTGCGTGCTGAGTCCTGGATGGTTTCAGGAAGGAAGTCACAGATACAGTGTTGGTTTTCTGGGGCTGCCCTAATGAAGTACCACAAACAGGAGGCTTACAGCAGGAGGAATGCACGTTTGGAGGGCACAAATTCAGGATTGAGGTGTGGGCGGTCTGCGATCCTAGTGTCTCTAGGAGAGGATCATTTGTGCCATTTCAAGTCACCAGTGCCTCCAGGTGTCCCCGGGCTTGTGGCCACATCACCCGGATCTTTGCCTCCACTGTCTTGTGGCCATCTCCCCACGCTTCTGTCTCACATCTCCCTGGCCCCTCTCTTATGAGGATCCATCCCAATCCAAGGTCATCTCACCTCAAGATCTTTTTCTGTGTCTCAGATCTCCCTGGCCTCCCTCTTATGAGGACCCATCCCAATCCAGGGTCATCTCACCTCAAGATCTTTTTACCTTGATGATGTCTATGGAGACCCCATTTCCACATTAGGTCTGAGATTCCCAGTGGGCATGGATTTTGTGACACCTAGGGATGCCCAGCCTTGTGTCGTTCCAGAAAGACATGGAAAGTAGCATTTCTAGAAAGTAATGGTCATAAGGGTCTTTCAGTTCTTTTCTTTATTCAGTTTGGTAGATTATATTCCTAGTCTCTGTCTGTCTTAGTTGGTTTGTACTTACTAACCTCCAAACTGAGAAGTGGGCCTGTTCTCTCAAGGTCTCTCATACCAAGAGTTGCTCTTGACCTCTCCTGTGCATCAGGTGATGGATGAGTTCGGAGCTCATGCCCATCCCATGGGGTCTCAGCCCCACGCCGCCCTTTCCTGTGCACGGTACCAGGGAGGTCAGGGAGAACACAGCAGGCGTGAAGGTGAGCCAGCAAGGACAGTTACTGAGTCCATGCCCAGAGGCAGCAGCCGCTGGGTCACATCCCCGTGGAACCTGGAGGAGCACTTGAGGAGAGGCAGCCTGTGCCCTGGGCCTGGGCCTCCCAGGTGGCGCTAGCGGTGAAGAACCTGCCTGCCAGTGCAGGAGACTTGGGAGAGACGGGTCTGATCCCTTAATTGGGAGGACCCCCGGAGGAGGGCATGGCAGCCCACTCCAGTACTCTTGCCTGGAGAATCCCATGGACAGAGGAGCCTGGTGGGCCACAGTCCATGGGGTTGCATAGAGCTGGACACGACTGAAGCGCCTTAGTACGTGTGCCCTGGGCATGGGCAAGTGCAGGTGGGCAGGCTGCACCCAACTACCATAGCTTCTCACGGCAGCCCTCAAGAGTGTGTCCCCTGAGGCAGAGCACGTGGTTCTCACCATGGCCACGCACCGGGCTCATGCCTGGGACTCAAAAAGACAGACAGACATGCACACAGCACACACTGACCCCAGGCCGGAGTCAGAACATCTGAGGGTGCACGCACCACCCAGATGTCTCTAATGAGCAGTGCCCTGCCGCCATCAGACCTGCTCTCTGCATCCAGCTCTGGAGAGCCCTGAGCAGCTGAAATGAGCACGAATCTGCGCCACTCGTGATGCTCTTCTGAATACAGGTGGGCACTGGTCAAAGGTCCCCAGCTCAGTCTCCAGCAGCCAGCCAGCCTCTGCTTATCCTGAAAATAGATAACTCCTCTGGCATCAGGGCCATAGACACCTCGGCTGCTAACAGGCCTCTGAAAAGCGGGGGCCAGACTCTGCCGGTGATCCCCTGCCAGGAACAAGCCCTGCGCTCTGTGGGCCTCACCCTCTCTCTATCCATCACCAGATACTCTGAGCATGAAGGTGTGTGGTACAGAAGACATTGTACTGCTAGAGGTCTATTCTCTGAACCGGTTCTTGCCCATGAATAGCTAAATTGATGTGGAGACTTAGAGTGTTTTAAAAATAATAATAATAATAATAAAAGGCCATCAAAGACCATTTTATGCTATTTTTTTTTAAACCTTGACCCCAGAACTAACTTTCTAACCTTAACACCTTCCCGTAGCAGAAAGTCCATCTGCCAAATGGTTAGTCACCAAGGCTGAAGCAAAATTGCCAAGAACTCTATAAAGCCAGGCACTGGCTCCCAGACACACTTATCCCAGTGGAATAATTCCTGCCTCGGGAATAGTACCCCAGGGGAACTAGTTCCACCTCCCACTGCTGCCTCAAGTCACGGTGCGCTGGCTCTGACTCCATGTTTTAGACATGGGAAGGCCACGGGGGGACAGCTGTTGAGATGCTCCTAGAAGCGGTACCAAGGGAAGGAGGCGAGCAGGTCAGCTGGGATCTCTCCTGCCATCCCCAGGCGGCTAGGTAGTAGGTGTCGTGACGGCTGGAGCCAGGTGGGTCCTGCCAGGCGAGCAGACCCTCTGGAGAGTGGCAGGAAAGGCGTGCTGAACCCATTGTCATCACCACTGGTGTTTGGGTCAGGACCTGGTGTGTCTCCTGTTTCGTTTCTTATTTTCCTGATGTGGAGTTTGTCCTCTAACACTGACTTCAGGTTTGTGGGGGGTGGTCAGCCTCACGCATGTGAGTAACAAAATTTATTTGCCCTTTAACCTCTGACTAAGGAAATGGACTGTGTTAAGTTTGTTGTCACCCTATAAGGTGTTTGCACTTCTTGAAACACGTAATTCTTTAAGTTCAGTTTTACACTGTATAAAGGTGGGCAAAATAAAGACCCACATCTAGTGCAGCTGTGAGACCAATACTGAGCTGAAATGAAACTGCTTTGACATTTCATAAAAATGGCTGATTCTTTTGTTTAGGGCAGAGGTCAGCAGACTTTTTCAGTAAAAGGCCAGGTGAAAAATACTTCCTCTTTCAAGCCATGTGGTATCTGTTGAAATGTCTCAGGTCAGCCTGTTAAATGAAGGCAGCCTGGACTTAGGAACAAATGGTCATGCTGTGTTCCATTAAAACTACCTGTGAGGTTAGAATTTCATATATTTCATGTGTTCCAAAATGTTATTCTTGATTTGATTTTCTTCTTTCAGCCATCTGAACACTTAGACATGTCCCTGGCTTGCAAGTCATAGGAGAACAGACTGCAGGGCTTTGCACTCACCTGCCAGATGGGTGTGTTCCTTTGAAGTTTCACATCAGAGTCTTCGAGCATTGTCTGGAGGGCATCTCACTTCCCTCCTTAGCCCCAAACTCAGGCACAGCTTGAGCCCTTCACATGGCACTGCTGCTGTGAACAGTGGTGTTGATGGTGGCCGACACTGAGTCTAGGGTTGCGGCTGGCAGGGTTTTGGGTATTTTTGCGGTGAAAGATAGAAAGGCAAAAATGACATAATGAAACATGAAAAACTAATGACAAAGTCTTTAAAATGTGTGTAGATTCATGGTTATAGTTGTATTTGGGTATAACTTTCTCTAAGTGATGATACTTCCTTTTTCAAAGTCAGTCATTTAAGGATTCAGGATCTAATGTCAGTTGTTAAGTTCTTTATGATATAAAAAAATCTGAAATTTCTTGACATTTTTCTGGAAGTAAGTGAACGGATGAAGGATGCTATTATCAATATGTTATGTATAATTGGTAATACATACCTGGACTATATTTAAATGTTCCATCACATGTCCAGTCCTTATATTAATATTTAACCAAATCATCTAAGCCAGATTCTGTGCCAAATCCCGAAATTCTAGCTACATCATGTACTCTGCTATCAAATAACATCACCATTTTTAAGAAACTTATGCTTGTGAGGAATCACATAACCATGTATTTTGGGGTTGGGGGAATAGGAGGTCCTTGATTCTTCTTTCCTTCCAGCTTCTAATATTGTATAATTTGGTTAAGAAAGCATTAGAGGACAAGCTGCTGTATCTAAATTAGCTAAAGAATCAAGAATTAATGCTCTGCAAGACTGTAGTAAATTATCTTTTATGGAACAATTGCCTTACACTTTGACCAAACTGCTCGCAGCAAAGTTGCTTACAACACAAGGACCAGTCAGGCTGGCAGACGCCCACCACCTTGTTTCCCGACTCTGCTCAGCTGTCCAGAGCTTCAAAGCCTGCATTGATGGCACTAGTTAGCCCCGTTCCTTTATGAGGCAGAAATGGGGGACAGTAGAGACAGAATGAGATGGGAGATGGCAGGTAATGGTTTCCACGAGTAATCTCTGGAGGCCCCAGAACAGCACACACACAAATTTTAGGAGAGAAAAAGATAGAAGTCAATCCTAGAGACATTTTCAAATAACGCAGGAAACTTGACTACAGGCAGGCAGTTGGGGTGGGGGGCTTTGGTTTGGGGTTTGATGAAATGCCCTCTTGGAGGAAATTGTATTGATTGGGATATCAGTTGTGGCATTAGACCATGCTGCAAGCTTCCACGGCCCCACTGGCCTCACCTATGAGGAGTCCCCTCCCCTCTCACTGCTCCTGACTTAATTATTAGCTATGGGTTTGAAAACAACTTGGAAATTGTAATCAGTTTTCGCATTTGCAACTGATTTCCACAGCCACATAGTATCTCAAGCTTTTGGCACCCATCTGGAAACAGAACAGCAGTGGGTTTGCCCAGGGGGTAATTTTCCCTGATTGATTTTGAAAGTAAAAAGCCACAGGGTTGGTCCTTCAGCTAGTCTGAAGACGAGGGTGGTCCTGCTTCCCAGAAGTCTCATCCCGCAGCCTCCTCAGTGAGAAACGGACCGGCAGGGGCATCAACTCAAAGACGGCAGGAGCTGCTCGTCCACCCGGAGCCGCTCCAGGCCCTTGTGCAGCGTCCAGGTGAGGACGTCCTGGCTTCAGGAGTGGGGAGCGGTGCGCACGGCTGTGGTCGAGGCTGTGTCCGTGGAGCCTGACTCGCGTCCTGGGCTCTCGCTGGGCAGGCAGCCGTGTTCCAGCCGTCCCACCACGAGCAGCTCCTGTCCTGGGTGCACTGCTGCCACTCTGTCCAGCGTGTTCTCCCACCGGGTCTGAGGCAGCACCGGGTCCTCAGTGACCTTGGGATGTTCCCTTCATCTTCTATCACAGCCTCTGTCCCTCTCTCTCACCCTGGGGAGGGAAGTGTGATCTAGGGAATGGCAGCTCACTTCCACCATCTCTCTCTCCTGGAGGTTGGAGGGTTAGGTAGGTCTAGGGCATGTTCCCTAGAATGAGTGAAGGGCAGGGTGCAGAAACCCAGCTCTCCATAAAGGAGGATCGGGCCCTCCCAGGCAGCCCGTCTGCTGCCCATGCCTCTTCCTCCACCCTCGGGCAGCTTCTACCATACAGTGGCCGTTCTGTGCCCACTTCTGGTCTATGGAGCTGGTGCTGGGATTAATGAGGCCGGACCCTTTTTTAGAGGCTCAGGGCAGATGCCCTGGAAAGGTGGGCAGGCGAGGCGCAGGCCCTGGGTTCTCCTACCGTGGAAGGTGAGGACAGAGAATGCACAGCCTTGTGAAGCCCCTTATATGCAGCTGTGGGACCTTCTGCTGTGTTTTCCAGTGGAAGTGATGCTCTAGAGGGCGGTTTGTTTCCTAAGGTGATGGCAGCGTTGATTGAGATACACAGTTTGCGAGGGGAGATGGGGGATGAAGATGATGGAAGTGGGTCAGAAGGCGAGACCCGGGATCCCATTCCTGAGTGCCCAGGAAGTGGCTCATCTGCGAATCAGATGCACGAGTCTGCTCAAGCCTGTTGGCCTTGCAGATTGCTCACAGAAGTTCCCCAGAGGGGAGCTCTGTTTATCTTTCTGACAAGTGAGGAAACAAATAACCTAACACCCACCCAGGGTCTATAGTCAAGACTGCTGAGGTCCTGACCGCCCAACAGGAGTGAACCCACAGGAGGAACAGTGTGGAGAGAAGGGAAGTGTCCCAGGTCACGGGGTGTGGTCTGAACGAACCAGGGTTACTTACAGATCCAAACCCACCCATTTTATGCCCCGTGTCATAGAAAATTGGTTTCTTTTTGAAAGCAGTAGCTGCTTGCTAAACTTAGAGACCACCTCTCTTCCCAGCTGGCTTATGCATGTAGAACACTGCTTCCGCACGGGAGGGTCACAGAGGGGCTGAAGCAATAGCTGGGGAGGCCTTCTCGGTCCCTCAGGCTCTTGTCAGCTTAACCCAAAATGAGATGCCTGAAGCTGCAGCCTCACTTGCTGTGTGTGCTTGTTGGAGTGTGGGGTCATTGCGTCGTGATCAAGCCCACTCTGACCTCTGGGTCCTGTGAAGTGAGCACTCGCCCTCCTGGCATCATAAACTAGCCCGAGGCTGCTCACAGATCCACCCACTCCTGCTTGCTCAGCTCTGCCTTGTCACACTGCCCAGCACAGGAACATCATCATGGGTGGGGTGTCCATGTGCTCTCTCTCACAGCCCACAGACCTCAGCATGGGTGGGGTCTCCCCATCACCCAGCCCTTCATTCACAGACCTCACAGCATGGAATAGGATCTCCCCATTACCTGGCCTGTCTGCAAAATGTACAAGAGAGTAGATGGAGGTGCATGGTCTTCTGGGGCTGCTGTAACAAAATACCACAAACTGGGTGGCTTGAAACTACAGAATGTAAGCTCTCTCAGTGCTAGAGTTCAGAATTCTGAAATTAAGGTGTCAGCAGAGCCCCGACCTCAGGCTCTAGGGGAGAGTCTTTGCCTCTCCACTTTCTGAAGCCACCTTTCTCCATTTCCACTGCGTCTTCCCATTGCCTCTGCCTCAAAATCCCCAGTGCTGCTTTCTTAAAAGGACACTTGTCAGTGGATTTAGCATGCACTAAAAAATCCCGTATGATCTGGTCATCTCAAGATTTATAACCTAACTGCATATGTAGAGACACTTTTTCCAAGTAGGTCATGTTTACAGGTTCCTGGAATTAGAACTTGGGACATTGAGGGCAGTAGTTCAGCCTATTATAATCTGTCCTCTGTTCCTCCTAAATTCACATTCATCCCACATAGAAAATATATTTGTCCATCCCAACATCTGCGAAAGTCTCAACCCATTACATAACAGCTCTTCATCCAAAATCTCATCTAAATATCTTCAGCTCTGATCTCATCATCTGAATCATTTACATCTAGTGTTGGTGAAACACTTGGTATGGTCCATCCTAGGGCAAAATTTCTCTCCATCTCTGACCTGTGAAACCAGAAAACAGTTTATCTGCTTCTAAATACAGTACTGGAACAGGCATATGATAAGTGATAGGCTGTTGCTGCTCCAAAAGGGGGGAAGGGGATATGTAAGTTAGGAAGGGTCACCAGAGTTCCTGTTTCCTGTCTAGCATGAGAGGAGCTGGGAAGTCACTTCTCCATCCTAACAACAAGTTAAAAGCTGAACAAACTGAACAGCAACAACCCTTCTTGTATCTATTAAAGAAATGAGTTCACAGGGCAAACTTCCTAACTCATTCTATGAGGCCAGCATTTCCTTAATACAAAACCAGACAAAAGTATTACAAGGTACCAATACATGCAGAAATCCTCAACAAAATGTTAGCAAACCAAACCAACAATGCATAAAATGATTATACACAATGACCAAGTGGGATTTATCCCATGTTTGCAAGGCTGGTTCAACATTTTAAAAAATCAATATAACCCATCACATCAACAGATGAAGAAAAATCACATGATCATATCAATAGATTTATAAAAAGCATATGATAAATCCTATACTCATTCGTGATAAAAAAAACTTCCAACAAACTAGGAACAGAAGGGAATCTTCTCAACTTCATAAGGAACAACTACAAAAAATTCTAAAGCAAATACTATACATAATAGTGAGAAACTTGGAAGTTTTTCTGCTAAGATCAGGAACAAGGCAAAAGTGTTCTTTCTCACAATTCCTGTCCAATGTTGTTCTGAAAGTTAATGCAATGAAACTAAAAACGGAAATAAAAAGTATAGTGATTGGAAAGGAAAAATAAAACTTTTTTTGCTTGCAGAGGTTATGATTTTCTATGTAGAAAATCAGAATTGACCAAAACAGAAACTGCTGAAACTAATAAACAATTATAGCAAAGTTTGAGGGTACAGTGTTAATATGCAAAAGTCAGTCACTTTCCTAGATACTACTGATAAACGTGGAATTTGAAGTTAACAATGTCATTTACTTTAGCATACTCTCCCCAAATATAATACTTAGGTAGAATTCTAACAAAACATATGTAAGAGCTCTATGAGAGAAATTACAATATACTAAGGAAAGAAGAGCTAAATAGACTATGTTCATGGATAGGAAGAGTCACTATTGTTATGATATCAGTATTTTCCAACTTGATCTATAAATTCAATGCAATTCCAATCAAAATCCCAGTAAGTCATTCTGTGGATATCAGCAAACTGATTCTACAGTTTATCTGGAGAATCAAAAGACCCAGAATAGGCAACTCAATGCTGCATGAGAAGAACAGAATCTGAGGACTGACATAAGATGACTTCAAGATGGCTATAATCCTGACTCAATATTGAATGAGAAGAACAGAGTCAGAGGACTGACTTCAAGATGACTATAATGCGATAGTAATCAAGACAATGTGGTATTGTTGAAGAAATAGACAAATCAATGAGACAGTAGAAGACCCAGAAGTAGATTCACCTGAATATAGTGAATGAATCTTTGATGAAGGAGCAAAGGCAACACAATGTAGCAAATATATTCTTCAACAAATGGTGCTGGAACAACTGGACATCCACATGAAAAAAAAAAATCTAGACACAGACTTTGTTCACAAAAATTTAACTCAAGATGGATCACAGGCTTAAATGTAAAACACGAAACTATACCTAGAAGATGACATAGGGGAAAACCTAGGTATTAGGAAAGATACAACACCAAAGCCATGATCCATGAAAGGAAGAATTGATAAGTTGGGTTTCACTACAATTTAAATCTTCTGCTCTGTGAAAGATACTGTCAAGAGAATGAACAGTCAAGCCACAGACTGGGAAAAAAAATATTTGCAAAAGACATACCTGATAAGGACTGTGATCCAAAGGACAAAACGAACAGATAAACTGTGGTACATCTAGGTAACGTTCCTCAGCATTAAAAAGAAATGAGCTATGAAGTATGAAGTGACATGGGAAAAGCTTAAATGTATATTAACTAACTGAAAGAAAATCTGAGATTATACATACTATGTAATTCCAACTATATGATGTTCTGGAAGAGGCAGGGCCACGGAGGCAGTAAAAAGGTCAGTGGTTCCCAGGGGTTGGGGATGGGGGCGTGAGCACAGAGGATTTTTAGGGCAGTGAAACTACTTTGTATGATACTGCTAAAAAATAAGGTTATGTTTGTCCAAACCCATAGAGTGTATAACACCAAGGGGGAACCCTCATGTAAACTTTGAATGATAGTGATGTGTCAGTGTAGGCTTACTGATTATAACATATGTGCCCCATTGTTGTGGGATCTTGGTTGTAGGAGACACAGTGTAGGTGAGGCCAGGGATTACTTTCTCTATACCTTGCACTCAGTTTTGCTATGAACATAAAACCACTCTAAGAAACAAAGACCACTGGAAAAAAGATAAGGGAAAGAGGGAAGGAGATGAAGGAAAGAAAGCAGTCTCTGGTCCCAAGCAGTACTAAAGGCCAGCAAGGCAAATTCCATTCAGTTTCGAGACCTGGGGATAATCCTCTGTGGTTCAAGGCTTTGTCCTTTGGGCCCAACACACTCTTCCTTTTTCTTGAAGGGTAGAATATGTCAACAGCTCAGTAGCTCTATCAGCCTATTTCCTGCCTGTAAAGTTTTAGAAGTCCAACAGCCCTTTTCCACGTCATTCTTTTCAGTCCCAGCTGGCAGTGTTTCTGCTGATTAACATTCTCAAAAAACTTGTGGGTCCCCTGTGTTTGTCATGGGGATCCACACCATAGACAAGAAGATCATCCATTAGATCTTTCCTGGGTAACCCCATCTCTGTTCCTTGCTTCTGCTGAGACGGTTGAGTCACACCCTTAAATCTCTTTGGCAACACTTGGCTTT